AAGATCAGAAACATGATCTTTTCCTTCCTTCAAATGCCCAATCTGCTGCGGCCGGAGTTGCCGGACTAATTGAGAATTCCTCATCTAGACTCACTTATGCCCTCACAGCTCCGCCACCGATGACACAGGCAAGAATTCCCAATTCAAATGGAACGCAGGATCAGCTTCGATAATGGAAGGATTGGAAGGAATAATCAGTAAAGAATTATAGCGGACACATTTGTATAGGCTCGCTCCGTGTACAGTTTTCTTACCGTTTTGCATCCCGCTTCTTTTCACCCACTCTCTCTCCGAGGTGGTGGTTGCAATTTTCCCAGTGAAATACGTTGAAGAGAGGAAGGAAAGTATTCATTTTCCTGTGTAAAGAAAAAATACAGATGATTGTAAATTGAAAATGGGTCTGTTGTGGAGTACCATGAGTAGATAGTTGAGGTGATTTTTTGGTGAGTTCATTATACCAATTTTTAATAGTCAAGTTATATATTATGCTGTTTTCTCAGTTTGTGTTCGCCAGCTTTTTCAATAATGGTACTGCTATTAGTTTGTAGCATGGTGGATGATAATTAATAAAATAAAAGGTAGCTGATTAGTGATAAAAATTCAAAAACTAAATAAATATAATTATTTATTTTCGAAGATTTTGAACTTTTAAATTTATTTATTAATAAAGTGATCATATTTTGAAATAAAAAATAGAGGAGATTAAGAAAATTGCAAAATGTCTGAAAGCTAAAGGTTTTTTCTTTAAGAGTAAAATATTTAAATTTTTTTTTAGTTTTAATCATAATTTTAAACGAGTTTATTAGTTTTGAAAATATATTGTTCATCTTTGTTGGATACTAAGTTTAAAGTTTTTAACTTGACGTTATAATATTAAAAAGATAATTTTATTTTTTATTAATTTTAAAAATTATTATTATATAAATTACTATAAAGTTTATTAATTTTATATAAAAACCCAATCAAAGTATATGAACACAAAATGCCAAAAAGACAAATAAATAGAAAGTGTAACATTTTGTTAGAAAGTTAGTAGAAGGTAGTGGTAGTGGTAATTTTTATTCTTACATGCTTAAAATTAGTAGAACTAGTTACATGTCTAAACAATGATTATTGATTTATTTTGCAAGTAAAGGTTTCACTGTGAAGACTGATTGTGCTGTTGTTTTTCATTCTCTGGGTATTATTATTAACACAGTGTTTCATTCATTAATTAATGAGATTAAACAAATGGGTTCAAGCTTGAGGCTTTGCTTGCTCATGTTCTTCGGCGCGGAGTGGAGGATAGAGCAGCTCATTTCATTAGTTTGTCTTTAGTTGAAGAAAGCAAAAGGGTTTTGGATGCAGCAGAATCTCGATCTTTAAAAAACATTTTTATTATGAAATTAGAAAGAAAACATACTTAGCCAGAACCGAACGGTCGATTGTTACTTCTCTACATAATCCTCTAATTTGTTGCGGCATAAATAAGCCATTTTATTATAGTAATAGCTGGAGCCTTCATATCAACATCCATGCTATTGAAGCCATCAACACAAGCCAATTTCCTCCCAGAAATACCATCACTTTGGGTCCATTGTTGCTGCTTGGGGTTGCCTTTGATTCTGAGCTCGAACTGATCCCAGCTGACGAAGAGGAGGAGGATGAAGTTGGCGGGGAGTTTGTTGTCGAAGGAGTGGTAGAACCTTGAGCAGCTCCTTTAAAGATCTTTGCATCTGTTGAATCCAGTGGCAGGTTCAGAATAGCTACAAACATCATCAAAAATCAAACAACAATCATTTGTGTTAGGAAGCAATCATAAAGATTCAAATTATACATTCTACGATGTGCTGATCTAATCGTACTTGGGCAGTCAGACACCTTGGCGTCAATGTTGCAAGCAGATGGCATTTGAAGAGCCAAAGTGGTATTGACAGGAAGCCCCATGGAAGGGTCAGTGCTCTCTTTGATGAGAAGGCACAAGCACTTGGGTTTGGTGGCCTTCACTTTCTGCGTATCTTGGCAACACTGCGGTGTTGGCTTCGTTGCAGTTCCGCTCACGAAGGGAATGCAAGATGCAAGGTGTGCCAGCTGATCAGCACATTCCTTCCCATCATCCTGCATTGTCCCCATTGATGATGCCATGGCCCATGATGCCACTACAATGCAAAACACCATCATCTTTTTGTTTAACCCCATCTCCGGCCTAAAAGATTTCTACTCTTTGTGGGTGTTTTTTGGTTGTTGCTTTTAGGCAATTGGAGAGTAATTCCCTCTCCTTTTTGTCTTTTCAGGGTTCCTCCTCCTGGTTTTTGGGGTTGGAAAATGCTTAGGTATATATAGAGTTAGGTAGTTTCGGTAATCTGAACTTCCTGCTGCAATCATTTTGACATTAACTGTTACGATTGCTCTTCCCTCCGTAGGTTTTTCTAATCTTTTATCTGTAATAATATCAGTTAGGGAGTAAAGAAGCTGAAATTAATTAATTAATTGTGATGCAAGGGTAAGACTTAATTTATGGAATGCCTTGAGAAAAGGTATCCCGTATCCCAATGAAAGATGTAATTCAATACAAATTTATTGAGCTTGCCATTCCCAATGGCATCCCCATTTGACAAGGTCTTTCTTTCCTTTACACTTTGGTGAAAAGAAAACGTGCATATGAGACACTACTTCTACCAAGGAACCTTACTTGGTTTTACATAAATCAGTCCAAATTTGCCTCCAGAAAATACCAAAAGTTGCTTTCTTGCTATTCTTTCAAACCATGCATGCAAATTCTTCTTATCCCTCCTTTTCTTTGGGGAGAGACACAAACAAGAAACAAAAACATCACTCTCAAATGAAGTAATCTATTCTCTAGTCATTGTTTAGAGATCTAATCTACTTTAAACACCATTTTTAAATTGATCTTCAAGCCTGTTTATTCTTGAGGGATACAAAGGATAAGACAAACTAATCCAAGATTAAATACAACTTCCACGCTATTGCACCGAGGAGTTTAAATTAAAAATCGAACAAAAACAGAGGTGTGAGCTTCTCATAAGAACATCCTTGGATTCACCATCGGAAAAGTATGAAGCAGCCGGCTGGAAGATTAACTCTCATTTTTATAAAAAAGAATAAAAAGATAAAAAGGTTAATATCAACAGAATTGTATTTAAGTATGATACATATCCTCGGTGTGTACAATCTTTGTCGTTAAGATTTCTTCTTTCCTTCTCATTTTTTCGATCTTCTCTGATTGCTGATTACAGTAAGAAGGTGACCAGGAGACGAATGTAAGTAGAAGGGTGAATACCAACGAAGCTAACCTCAGCCGATAGCAAAAAGCAATCCCTCATTTCTTCGCCAAAATTGTGCATTTGCAAAGCGGACAGAGTGCTTTCATCTTTAGCCATTTATCTACACAGTTAGTATGGAAGAAATGAGAGCAAGGGAGCTCCTTCAGCACATCATTATCTGCATAACTTGCCAAACAAATGCAACAAACCTGTACAATGTCCATGTAACATAACCTGAAGATTGCTTCAATTGAAAGCAAAACAATGTAATAATAATGCTTCCTCAAACATTAAACAAAGTATTAGTCTTATGAGTGAGCCTTCCAGAACTTACTGCATCATCCCCTGAAATAACACAGTCCTTTTCTGCTCCTGCCACTTGAACCCCTCTAACTTCAGAATTGGTTTTCATGATGCTGCCGGTACCATCTTTCTGTAACTTGAAAGTGTATGTTGGCAGAGAATTGATGCACTCTGAAGTAGCTCCTTTAATTAGACCTAGGTCCCCACAGCAGCATGCTAAAACAGCACACAGGATGAAGGGCATAGTAAACTCAAGATAGCTAAAGACAAGAAACATTACACATAACCTACAATGAAGCCGAAGAAACTGGTTGATTTTCAGACAGAGAAAAGCCAAAAAAAAAAGCATAATAATTATACAGGCCAGTGTTGATACCTGCGCAAATTTGGAGCCCCTGAAGAAGAGTACCCCCCAAATAGCCAAACATTGCCAACAACAAACCAGATAAAGAAGTAAGCTTTTAGCATCCATTTAAAGCGCTCAAAAAATCTGCTAAGCCTGCCAATGTTATCGTGCAAAATGCATCACCATTCACAAATAAGATTGATGAAAGGTATGTCTAAAACACTTGGAAAATGAAAAAATCAATGTTAGGACCAAACAGAAAAGAGCTAGTAAATGGACTGATATATACATACTGTCTGAGGCTTCAATTTACTCCTGAAATACATGTTTCTTAAACAGGAAAACAACAATAAATGGATTTCTGAATGTTTATCTTGTTGTCAGTAACTGTGGAAATTATCCAAATAAAATATAACACTGTGCAGAAAAGAGCACTTCTGTCATTTGAAATATAGAATGTGAAACAATAAAAGATGAATTCCTACGAATCTAGGAATGACTCAATGAATTATTTTGCTCCTTTGCTGGACAAGCCAAATGCAAATTTTTCCGATACAAGATCTTCTAACACATGAGTATCAGTACAGCACTTTCTGTAGGAATACATGACTGGTTCCAAGAACAAAAACCAAACTTCAAGTTGAAGTTTGGAAACAAAGACATGTAAAAGAGATTATGCAACATGAAACCAACAGTAATTAGTTGTAGAAGTTTCCAGTCTGAGGATATGTGAGTCTCTGGCAGCAAGGACTAAGAGTTAAACAATTTGTCAATGCTGATAAATTCGGTTAGAGGACAAGGAAAAATCTTCGAACCTCCAAATATCCATTCTTCTAAGCTAGTTGTTATGTCAATTCAGCATAGAACATGGGGAGAATAAAATAACCATTGCCCCCCAAACAAGGCAAAGTAAATGAAGAAGCATAAATAATTCTAGCAAATGATTCCACACCAAAAAGAACAGAACACTGAGAAGCCATTTTAAACTATATCTGTAATTATGCACATCAATTACAAGGATTTAGCATTGAACAATATCAAACAAAGAAGGTAAAAGCTTACGTAGGATACGGAAGGAAACAATGCTGGAAAAGGATGGGAATAGTAGCAGCACACCCTGCAGCATAACCCACAATCCAAATGGGCAACGGAGCTTGTGACTTCTCATTCCTTGAAGCTACTAGAACAGCTACTGATGCAACAATCTGGCTTATATTAAAAACTAGTCTAATGTAAATCCAAAAGCAAAAAGATGATATAAAACTCCTATGACTTGATCCACCAGGGGTGGGCTGAATCACAGGTTGTTGAGAATTCCTTGATACAACATTATTCCCATGTTGACAATCATTTGGAATATCAAGAACATGATCATTTTTTTCATGGAGGTTTTCAGGTGGCTGCTCCATTTGCAAAAATTTCTTTTTTTTGCTTTCTTAAGTGGGACAAGAGAAGCAGCATAAGTGAAAGCCTTTGATCAAACTGTTCTTCTTTTGCCCTCAATCTTATCAGCTGCCATATGGGATTCTGATATTTTTAGCAAACCAACAAAAATTAGTCCTCGGTTAAGCCTCCAATTTCTGTTGCAAATATTTATTACAAGTAAAAAACAGATGCTCCCAAACAAGAACTTCTATTCATAGCAAAAAGATAATAAAATAAGACAATTATACATCATTTTCTTTCTTTCCTCGAATATCTCAGCAATTATAATGTAAAATAATCGTTTGATCCCCTAGTTTTGAATAAAAAGCCACAAAGATCAAAGGATCTTAACTCTTGTTGGAATAAATCAAATGAATGCAAAATATTCAGCTTTTTCTTTTTTTTTTTTTGTGTTCTCTTTCTTCATTTTTCCCAGAAACCAAACATGTTTCCAATTTCTCTGGGACTCAAGAAAAATAAAAAACTTTAACTCAAGATTGTGCTCAACTTCAAAACTTTTTGCATATTTTGATTCAAAGATTTTTTTTTTAATCTTTCCAGTTTTCTCAGCATCCAAACAACAAGCAAGAACTTCCAGGTACTAGAATTTTCAACTTAAAAAACAATAAGTAATAAAAAACTCATCATAAACCAAAAATTTTTTTATTCTTATCACAGATGAAAAAAGTAAAAAACAAAAAATCAATCTGCTTGAAGATTGAAAAAACTGTCAATTTTCGATTAAATATTCCTTTCTTTTTCTTTTTCACTACAACAAAAACAGAAAAAGGAAATGAACTTACAGTATCTATTTGGTTTTTGCCATTTGACTATTCACTGTTTGTTGAAAGGGAAAAACAAAAAGGGACAAAAGAATTTCTTCAACGTAAGATTTTGGGAAGTAAAAAGAGAGAAGAAGAAAAACATTTATTAAAAAGAAAGGAAACAAAACGGTGGAAGGCAAGTACTTATCGTTGACGTTTTGAGCTCGTTCTTCTTTTGCATTTCCCCCTTCTTTTTGAAATCCAAACGGGGCCTTACAGCATATACTGGTGGCATTTTTTTTTACAAATAAATAATCCCATTACCGTATTTACCATGAATATCATCATCAGTGGTTACGGCGGTGACACGTAGCATTTCTTGCCACTTGTCACAAAGTACTAAAATCATGTCTAAAAGTTTGTTAATAACTATGGTGTGTTTGTCAAACAGTACACATTGAATAAAGTGTAATTCAACCAAAAGAAAATATCAGGCTAAAAAAATTAAAGTGTAATTCAACCAAATGAAGGCTTTCTTATTGTAATTCCTAGTATCCTTCAAGCACATTTTCTAGCATATGACAAACTTCATACACATTTTTTCAACTCTCACCACACTCTCAAAAAAAATAAAATAAATTTGAGTAACTCTTTAACATTAATTAAAGTAAAAACTCTTTTGATAAATACCCTTTGGATATAATATTTAATAAAATTCTTTAAATTTTTTTTATAAAATTTATTCTTTTATTACATCTAATCAAATTTTTATATTTTTTTAATATCAAATAATGTTTAACACTAACAATTGATTAACTATTATTTATCAAAAAATTACTTATTATTTTCGTACTATGTAAACGTGACTTATTTTGACATAATTGATGGTGATTTAATTATAAAATCACTTGTTATTTTTACTCTTCATGTTAACCTCGCATGAATAAAAAATGATAAATAATATTTTAATTAACGATAATTAATAAATTATTAATCATAAGAATTCTTTTAATACAAAATAACTTTATTGAATACAATAAAATAATAAAATACTATTTAGATTTAAAAAAATTAAAATATTATATCTTATCATTCGAAATAAATCATGTAGACTATTAGTTTGATATTAACTAGGAGAGAAAAACATATTCACTTAGCAGAATATTCTTTGGCTGTACCAGCATAAATGTAATCTTCGAATTAACCCCACAATTAATAAGCATCTTTCCATATTTATTAGTTTCCGGTATGTTCTTCCCCACTATAAATGTCAATGCCAGAAGTCTCACAAACTGCTTTATTAATGCGGTGGTGCCATTTTCATATATATATTTTAACAATTTTCTCTGCTTGAACTCAGCTCTCAAGTCAGAAGACATGGATTTGGTTTCAGGAAAGCTTACTCTTTTGGTTTGTGTTTTGGCCATCACATCTTGTAAGTTTAATTTCTCTCTACCTCATTCACCATTGCCCAATTTTACCAGCTAAGGGTGATTAATTGGCAAGGGTTTTCTTTTGCAGGTATGCCCCTTGAAAAACTGCTACAAGTTGAAGCTTCAAGAACTATACCAGTTCTCTGCACCCATGACTACCAGTGCAAGCAATACTGTGAAGGGGCATACCGTTGCGAAAACGGCTCTTGCACTTGTTTAGATTATGAACAAGCTCAAGAAGAGCAGCCTATTAATCAATCCACCTCGTTTTCAACTTGTGCGAGGGATAATGACTGCTGCAGATCTTGCCCCTCTGTTTGTGAGTCAAAAATCTGTGTTAGGGGCAGGTGCTTTTGCGAGTGAATAGAAATCAGTATGCAAACAAGTTTTTATTAATTATATCAAGTGAAATAAATTTCCTTTGCAATAGTTTGATGAGAGTGCAAAACGAACCCAATTTGGCCCAAAAGATAGCAACAGCCGAACAGAAACAGGTTTAGAAGTAATAGAATTAAGCCCATAAGGAAAAGGCCCATAGAAGCTAGTCTTGCCAAGCTGAATTCCCATGGATTCTCATGAAAATTTTAACAGAACAATGTCTTTCACCTAGAAGCGTACTCATGACCGTATATCGACAGTCATGAAGAAACTTTTATGATATTCTGTTAGGTAGCACCTTCGTTTTCTGATTCATTAACGTTGCCGAATTAGCTGATGACAAAAGACTTGTCCACATCAATAGCGCTACTCCAAAGGGTAGCTAGGCGATTAGGCACCTCTCGCAAATCACTTTCCCTACGTTATCTCTTATAGTTTAGGTCCGTGCGTAATCCTCTTTTCACAAATAAAATAAATCCAGGGGGAAAATGGAATAAGGCAAGGGCATTTCTTCCTACGAAAACACGCACTATCATTTGTGCCATGATCCAATATGTTATTGACATGTTAGAAACAGTTGTAATTATGATGGGTTTTGATTAATTTGCAAGAAAGCATACAATATGCCAAGTAGTTGGGGAAGAGTGAGGAAAGCTTGGGATGGCATTGGGTTAATTGAACTGCATTGACTATTGATTGTCAAACCACAGCTATATAAATCATTTCTTTTAAATTAATGCATTAGGTAGAGCAAATTTAACCGATACCATTCTCTCCATTCATAGATAGGGGGAAAAAAAAATTCATTGACAACATTTTAATAGAAAAACACAAAAGCAAGAAACTTGTAAGTTGCATGTGACGTATTGGACTAAGGGCCTTTTCCATAAGAATAATATATATTTCAAGTCATTATTTTTCCAACATTATTTGCATATATATATATATATATATATATGTATATATTGTTATCACGCCATCCGGACATGACGTTGAAGTGACTGCAGCAATTGTCAAATGCAATCTTCTTTAAGTCCAAGACATTTTTATTTTATTGTAATTTGGACAGATTTTTCATTTGAATTAATCAGTATCGCGATGCAGTTCTTTTTGGCTTTCTTGTGAGAAAAAAAATTCTGTTCCTTTCATTAGGTGATTAGCATATTGCCATATTAGTAGTTTCCAATGTCAATAAAATAACCAAAAAAAATTATTTATTTTTTTTGACAAAGTAAGCACTAAAGTTGGTTTACTCATAAATATCACTAAGGCTTTCTTAAGCATGTTATGATAGTAATATTTGCATGTGAATATTGTCTTTCATTACAAGAATAAGAGAACATGTTAATGTATATATATAAAAGCCTTGGCACCCTGACTTATATACATCAATACTAGCATTTTTTGTTGCTGAATTTCAAGAAGACAATGTCGCATCTTTAGGAAAACAAATTAAGGAAAGTATCATAAACTACTTTTTCCTTTAATTACACCTTAGCTCAAACTTAGTTAGACAAACAAAAAATAAACTCTGCGGCCCATAACTCTAGATGCTCCCTTCAGGTGTAGTCCATGTCTCCTTGATGATAGCCGCTTGTATACCTCCACCCCAATTAATTTCCATACGCGCTCATTGTTTCCCGTCTACTTATTCGTCAAATCTAATTCCTTCGGTTAATTAATTAATTATTGGTTTGCCGAAAAGGAAGATCAATGTAAGGCCACGTAACGAGGCATTAATCCATGTCCCAGCTGCAGTTTCGTCTGGTTGATTCTTGCATTATATGTCCAGGTTAGGTTTATAATTGATGGTAATTCGAAGGTCTTAATCTGATCAAATATTTAATTGCGATGATGGATAAACAGTTAACTGTCACCTAATCTGTATTCCTTGCTAATTAATTTCATTAACCTGGCTTCTTATTATTTATTGAGTTTTATTGTTGACAGAAGTTTGGAGTAATCGTGAGCGCAATACCATCAATCACATTAACAATGATTCAAAAGAATTGACTTATCTAATTAATAATATTAAAGTGATAATAAAAAAGATTTTTCTTCGATTAAGTTGGAGGTATTTGCATATAAAAATATAGTAAGGGTCATTTCATTTCTTACTAATTGATTTTAAATTAGATATTTACTTAAAATTTATTCTCTTCATGATGAGTCTTTTTCATAATAAGTCGGCACATGTTAAGGTCATTGTCTTCATACATAAAAAATTATTAAAATGATAATAAAAAAATCTCATATTTATTATGTTTTGCAAGCTATACATAGATTTTTCATAAATGGGAAAAAATTTAAGGATACAAATCGCAAAAAACCTAAGCAATCAGCTAAAATATATATTATCTTATCCATTGAGAATTATAATCTTGATTTTTCTAATATAAATTCAAGCAGGTGGTTGTCAATTTTGATTATTCTAATCAACACAACAAACAATGTGGTTGCAATATAGAAAAATTGCATGTCCGTAGCTATTTGCTAATAATTAACATGGTTTAGATAAATATACCCACTCGAAAATATGTGCAATAAAATGCTTGATATAAATTTACAATAGCGTCTACATTATTAGACAAACTCAATTTGTACGTACATCTCACTTCTCTATCAGTTTTCAAATACTCTATTCTATCCATTTAAACACGCTGTTTATTATATATACGTGAATTGCATTAAATTGACGCAATTGAGAAATAAGAGAAGGAGGATTAGTTAGATTTTGCTATCTAACAATCAAGCCTCACAACTCAAAAGACTATATTCAATATTTAATATCTTTCAATCCCAAATTGAAGGTGTATCTTTTCCTTCTAAATTATTTCAAATTTATATCTATTTTCTATATTCAATATATAGGGAATGGAGAAAGTGTATATATATATAGCTTCAACAACTACGTACCTACTGTATCTTTATGTCTAGTACTTTTCTCAATTGAATTGTGCTTAGATTTTCATATATGCGTGTGGTGCATGGGTCTCCAGGGCTCAAGATGTACCTTAGTCAGCAAGCAAACGAAGATGGGAAGGCAATAAAATTGGACCATTCCCAGCAGGCGGCTGGCTGAAGCTGAGGAAGAGGGGTTAAGCTTCTACCCTTCAACCCATCCATGATCCACGCCCCCAAGGATTCTGGTTCAACAAACTCTGACCTACTCTAACCACGGGATTAATGATCACCCTAGAAAACAAGAAGAAAAAAGAAAGAAAGAAGGGAATGATTCTACGAGAGAAGGCAAAATTAGTTGTGAGCTTCAAGGTGTCACTATTTTTTGTCCACCACGAGATTTTTGGAACAACCAACTGTTTTGATTTAATGCAACCGTAACCTAATTTTTATATCATACTATATATAGTATCATTGTAAAGTACATACAATTCATACGAGCATAAAAACTATATTATAATGTACCAAAGAAATAAAAACTATATTATATAAATATATATACATATATATACTTGGTCAATCCATGTTAATATAGACATATTTTTGTGAAAAAACCATTGTAAACTCTTTTTAATTTAATTTAATTTAATTTAAAAGTTAATTACACAAGCGATGCACAAGTTATGGTGAAATATACAAATTGATACTTCAAGAGAAAATAAATGTATAATTTTGAGCTTCAACATGTCAAGTGTTAATTCAAACATGGAAAAGTCTTACGTAGCTACGTGAGACTTGACGATGGCATAATGACAATGACAGCAATAAAAACACCACTTTTAAAAAAAATAATAATAATTCAAAATTTAACGCCTGTTAACTAAATTTGTTTACTGTGGGAATATCTTATCAATATAATTACAACACTTTTTGTGAATATTTTTTGTGGATGTCATGTGATGTTGATGAGATCTTGACCACCTAAGTGAAATAAAATATATTTTTTTAATTGGTGTTGGAAAGGATGTCAATGGTTTTAGGTGATGCACGAATGTCATGAATCAAGATAATATTGATTACACGGTACATTACATGTATAGATCGATTGTTTTAATAGTATTAGAGTTTGAGTTACAAGGATACATGATTTGAAAGTTTCAAGAGTAAATTATGTACTCTTTTTTCAACTAATAATTTGTACATTTTACTGAAATTTTAGATATTAACTGTGTAATTAACTTAATTTAATGGTTCAAGTTCATATCTCATATTTATGCAAGTTTATCGACATGAATATGTTTATGCTTTAACAAGCTAGTGTTATAAAAATTAAGACCATACAAGGGAGAATGAATGGTGAATCATAGTATATAATCCAATATATACTTTCAATTAATATATATTGAAACAAAATGGCACTGCTACAATAAGTAAAAAGTGTTGATATAATAACATTTTCCAAATGAATATATGATGTGTGGACTAGCCAGTGGGGATAGATTCTATTGAAAAGATGAATGGAATTTTAGATTTGGGAATATTAATGCCAGAATTAGATTCTTTGAAAATTGGACTGTCACCTCATTTTGGGACCAAAATTCATTAAGTTGAACTCCAGAAGTTTCTTGCACCACCAAAGTTGGTGACTTGGAGTACTAATCTATGCACCTTATTTGCTCATCAATAACTATAGATTAATTTAAACTGGACTAACATAGTACATGTAATTCTTGAACTTAATTTGTTTGAAATAAATAAAAACCAAAAATGTCAATCAACAAGATCCATCTTAAAAAACAAATCAAATTGAAAAAAACAAAGCAAAAAACTTGGTGGGTTTCAATCAAAATGGGTTAAAAAGGGGAAAAAATTTGCTGGGTGTTCGGTTATTCTCCCAAAAATTTTCGCTTCATTGATTTACCATTCTGTCCATAATTTAAACTTAGAATATTTTACTTAAAATCGCCATTTACTATTTTTACCATAAAGAATAAAATTGCAGGAATCATCCTTTTTTACCTCTCTATATATTTTTCGAAGAAAGTTTCCTCTATATATTACAAGGGTTATTTTACTTCTAAATTGAAAATATTTTGATCAATTTTATTAGACAAATTTAACAGTTTAATCTCCTATAAAAACGTATGTTATTCACATTGAGCTAATTGAGAAAAATGATATCCACAATGTGTTGTTAAAAAAAATGACAAGATATTGTGTAAAAAAAAATTTAACTACAAAGAGTGTAAG